TTGTTGATTTGTTGAAGATTAATATTTAAATAAAAGGATTTACATAATTTTATTTAAAAAAGCTTTTATCCAATTATATTTTAAAATTAAAAATAAACACATCCCAAAAAATTATTTAAAAAAGTTTTTCTTGAAATAAAGCCTTATTGAGGAAGTTACCGTAGTTACTCGATTAATTCCCCTGGGGATTTATTTTTTCAACCTTTCATTGGCATGGGGAATTATTCAAGGGAGGGGAATTATTCGAGTTTGGAAATCTGAACGTGTAGTAGAGTATTTGTGGGAGGGGGATTATTATTTCAACACATCCGTAGCAGGGAGAATTATTCAAGAGAGGGGAATTAATCGAGTAAATACGGTAGATTTTCCAATTCCCCTTGCAGGTAACCATAATTCGTTGTAGGCTTTGTTTCGGGAATAAATAATTCTACTAAAAAATAATATTTTTTTTTAAATTCTTTTATCTTAATTTAAAACTCGTTTCCATTCTTCAACTTCTTCTTCCTCTCTTTTTCCTTCAAATTTTCCTTCAATTCATTTTTTTCCCTTTTTTCTCTTTTAAAATTTTATTTTTCTTTTTATTTCCCTCATTTTCTTTATTTTTAAATGTTTTATAACAAAATTGTCCATTTTTTCCTTTTTTACATTTAAATTCTTCCTCAATTTCTCCCATTTTAGACATTTCTCCTTCATTATTTTTAAAATATATATCCCGATTATCAAATATTTCTTTATTTCCAGTACATTTTTTTAAAAATCCAAATTCTTTATCTTCAATATTTTCACATTTTAATTCAAAATTTATCGGCTCTTTTCGAGGTAAATTTGAAATTAAATAAATATTTGTAACCTGACAGGCCAGAATTAGAATATAAATACATAAAATAGATTTTTTCATATTTATAGGAATATTTTGGCATTTTGTAATTATTTTTTCTTTAAAATTTCCAACTGTTTGACAAACAGAATTTGACAATGTTTTGACAGAAGTTGTCCAATTTGGGGAGGATTCCTTTTCAACATCCTCAAGGGGCATTTCCTCAAAAGAAGATGCCTCATCAGAATTAATTTCTTCTTTCCCAATATCTATTTTCCATTCACTCCCACTCAATTTATTATTTTTTGTTGAATTAATCCCTTTTAAATAAATTATGTAAAGAGAGAACATTTAAAACTAGACGGGGATTTATTAAAAGAAAAGTACTCAAAACAGTGCCCAATACTAGTGATGGTCGGGAGTTAAAAAAAAACCGAGAGTCGAGACCGAGACCGGGAATCGACCCCGAGACCGAGTCCCGGGTCGAGACCGAGACCGAGAGCTCAAAAAACCCGGGAAATTTCCCGACTCGGGAACCGAGACCGGGAATCCCGACCATCACTACCCAATACTATGTAGTCTGTAGGGCAATCGTACCAGGGATGGGATCTCTTCCGCTAGTCTCCCATTTTTTTATTTTCTTCCGCCTTCCTTCTTCGGCCTTTAAAAATGAGCCCCTGATCTGTAGGTAATAACCGAGAGTGATTAATAATAACTTCCAAGAGGTCGCTAAATTGATGCCTGTCCAGACTTTTATTCCCTCTGGTCTCTCTTACTATATTTTTCCTTTATCGACACAAATAAAATTTTATTTAAATTTTTTAATAAAAAATACCTAATATTATCCAATAAATTAAAATTATTAAAAATAAATTTAATTTTAAATTAATCATTTTTATTTTTTTCTATAAAATAAATAAAAACAATTAGTCAATCCAATTTTTAGGTCCGTCAAAAAATATTTGTTCCTTTTTCGATTTTTGACTTTCGTAGACTCTTTTGCTTTCGTGTCCGGAAATTTGGGGAGTGGACACTTGGGGAGTGGAATCCCCAATCCCCAATTGTCCGCTCACTCCCCATTTATCTACTCCCCAAATGTCCACTCCTCAAGTGTCCACTCCCCAAATCTACGGGAGCCTTTGCTTTGGGACGGCTCTAATGAATTATTGTTTGAAATCTTGAAAGAAACAATTTTTTAAATTTAAAATGAAAAACTTTGGCTTAAGACAAAACTTTTACGGACCAATGCTCTTAATTGCCTCTTTTACTCCTGAAAACAAGAAACATTAAAGGAATGTGAAACGGCTCGTATCCTCCTGTCCCAACAATAATTTAAAAAAATTTTTTTTAATCTGGGGTGAGTTGAGAGGAGGGAGGGGAGGGGAGGGGGTTGAGAGGGGGGAGGGGAGGGGAGGGGAGGGGGTAATTGGGGAGTTACTTATCATCTAAATAAATTTTTGCTTATTTTCTATTTACTTTTATATGCCAGCCAAAAAATATATTTTCATTTAAATTTCAAAATTCCGGAATTTAACAAACAAAGAAAGGGCAAATAATTATTTCTTAATTTCCCTGCCCTTTTATTTTTTAGGAAATAACACCGGCATTTTCCTTTGATTTTTTATTTTGCACTTTTATATTTTTTAAATAAAGTGCATAAAAACAATTAGTCCCCAATTCAATTAATTTCCTCACTTTATGTCATTTATTAGAGAGAAGCATTGTAAATAATTTTTCGAACTTGGAGAATTTTTAAAAAGTTTTTGTTCATTGCTGTTAACAATTTTTAATTGCTGTTCATTGGGCTTTTTCTTTACAAAATAAAGGAAATGACAAAAAATATAACAAAAAATAAATACAAAAGACTATATATTTTCATTTACATTTCCCCCCTCCTCCCTTCAGTAGAATCTTTAATTTTGGGTGTATTCAAGATTCTTCTTAGTCTCTCATTATCCTCTCCCCAACCCTCAATATCCCTCTTAATTAAAACAAATCTTTGATATATTCCCCAAATCCTTTTAATTTCTCGATTTATTTTTTATATTGATCCTTAAAATTACATAAACTCGAAAAAAATTCTTTCTCGAATTAACAAAAATAAATTTTTAAATTGTAAAAAAATGGCAAAGGTCAATAATTTGTAATTGGGTAGAAGTTTTACATATTCTTCCATAGGCATTGTCCATTTGATGTCTAGTTGTCTGTATTCAATTACTATTTGTCTAGATAACCCAATTACTTCGGATCTTTCACATCAACCTTGTGATTGAAAAGATTTGTTTATAGTATTAAGGTTAAAAATATTTTAAAAGAAAAGTGTCGATGTGCACTTTTTTATTTTTAAATGAGGAGAAATGCTTAATATATTTTATTTTATTCTTCTTTCTCTTTCACAACTAGCAAAGTCAGAAAAAACATTGGGACAGACAATAAAGTCCATGTTCGTAAAACGATTCTGCAACAGCCGGGACTTGTAAATTTGATGCTTTTTGGAATCAGAATTTAACTGAGGAGACGAGAACGTTTATTTCTATTTCAAAAAGGATTTGATAATTTGTAAAAATTAAATAAAAAAATTTAAAATAATTTTTTAACTATTGCAAAAAAGCGACGGTCAAATAGTTGTGACTGGGTGAAATAACTGACATGTAGATAACCCAGTCACCCCGGACCTTTCGCTGTTAATCGCCTGTTATTTCATGTTTAAATATGTAGTTGATAACAAAATTAGAAAAATGTGTCGCTGTTTATTTTGTAAGGGAGGGAAACACCTACATAATGTTTTCTCTTCTGTTATATTTCTTTTTTGTTCTCAAAAACTAAAAAAGGAACGGGTAGGGGAATAAAAAGAAACTTGGCTCTAGTCACTAGAGCGTTGGAGAATGACTGACAGAATAATAACACTCACAATTTATTGTCAGTCATCCTCTAACGCTCCCCGAAAAACGTGTCCTCAGGATTCGGGGTCAAACCCTAATCTAGTGCTGGACATGCGTTCTCAGACAATATGTATTAAGTCACTTAGATCAGTTTCGTTATATGTCCTTAGAGAAATGAATGAGAGAAAACAAATAGACAAAAAAGTCTTAATTTGTAGAATGATTATAGACGATTACAATAGCCGTAACCTATAAAGTCGTTGATTTTTCAAAGTAGGATTTCAAAAAGATTTGGTGATTTTTAAAGGAATTTTCTGTAAAAATTATTTTAAATATTCCAAAAAAGCAACAGTCAAGTGAATGCAACTGGGTAATGTAGAGAGAGAAGTAAGTGATAACCCAGTCACTCCGGACCTGTCACTAATTGTTAATATTTTACTTCAAATTAAATTCGTAGTTGAAACTAAAATTAGAGAAATGTGTCGATTTTTATTTTTTAGTGTGTTTTAAGGAGAAAATTGTTTTATATTTTCTTTTTTTCATATTTCTTTTTTATTGTTTAATTTTTTTGTATGTTTCTATCACCTTTTTAGTATAACTTGAAACAATCAAAAACTGAGAAAAGGGAATGAATGGGGGAACAAAATGAAAACTTGGCGCTAGTGCAGGGTAAGCGTCCTATGACAAGATATTAGTCGTCCCAACATAGTAGATTACACATTCACTTATGCGTCCCAAAAATAATTTTGCGTCTAAAAAAAATACGAAAGGAATCTAAAAATAAGTTTGCTCTAGCGTAGTTGGACATAAATCCCAACCCAAGCAGGGTAAAAAGGCCCTCTTCCTTTAAACTCGAAAATAAACACCAAAAACAAAAATGGCCAAAATTCCCAAAATTTACAATGATTTTATATTCAACTTTAGTAATTATAAAAATTCAAAAAAGGTGTTACATTTATAATTTTAAATTAAAAATATGTAAATATCCCAAAAAATTATTTAAAAATAAATTTCTTAAAATAAAGCCTTGTTGAGCAAAGTTTTCTCGATTAACTCCCCTGGGGAATTATTTTTATTCAAGAGAGGGGAATTAATCGAGTAAATACGGTAGATTTTCCAATCCCCTTGCAGTTTAGGATAACAATAGTAATTCTTTGAAGGCTTCGTTTCGGGAATAAATAATTCTATTAAAAAATAGTACATATTTTTTAAATATTCTACTCAAAATTTTATATATTCTTTAAATTCTTTTTTTTAATTTAAAACTCATTCTTCAGCTTCTTCTTCCTCTCTTTTTTCCTTCAAAATTTTCCTTCAAAATTCATCTTTTTCCCTTTTTTCGCTTTTTCAATTTTATATTTCTTTCCATTTAATTTAACAGCAACTTTAACCTCATTTTCCTTATTTTTATATGTTTTATAACAAAATTTTCCATTCCCTACACATTTAAATTCTTCCTCAATTTCTCCTTCTTTTGTTAATTTTCCTTGGTAATTTTTAAGAGATATATCGTAATTATTAAATATTTTTTTATTTCCAGTACATTCATATCCCTCTTTTCCAACTTTACATTTTAATTGGAAATTTATCGGCTCTATTTGAGTATTTTTTGGAGTCAAATAAACATTAGAAACTTGACAGGCCAAAATAAGGACGAAAACACAAGTAACAGATTTTTTCCAATTAATTGGAATATTTTGGCATTTTGTAATTATTTTTTCTTTAAAATTTCCAACTGTTTGGCAAACAGAATTTGACAATGTTTTGACAGAAGTTGTCCAATTTGGGGAAGAGGATTCTTCGAGAGGGGAGGGCATTTCGTTAGAAGATGTCTCGTCAGAATTAATTTCTTCTTCTTCTCCCAACTTTTCCCCTTCCAATATTTTCCAATCATTCCCGCTCGGTATAATTGGTTTATTATTTTTTGTTGAATTAATTCCTTTTAAATTAATTAATTTTAATGAAGAAAGGGAGAAGGAGACTTGTTACTAATAGTGTTGTTCTCCGTTCCCGAAAGGAGGGGAATTTGAGAGATTTTTTGAAAATTCCCCGTCCCCTCCCCGTGATGCTACTTCCCCGAAAATTTATCCCCGCGCCCCACCCCCACCCCCCCCCCCTCCTCGTCGGGTGGAACAACACTACTGGCTAACATTTAAAACGTAACGTCTATCTGGGTGCTTATTTAATAGAAAAAATAAAGCAAGGGCTCAGTAGAAGCCCCTTCCTATGTGTAGAGCGAAAGCTGCTCTTAACAATATCTTTGATTAGGAGTTTTATTCTTAAAATGCCTGCTCGAGTTCCAAACTTTGATTACCTCTCTCTCTTAAAATTAATTAAAAATACCTAACATCCAGCCAATTAAAATTATTAAAAATAATTTTAATTTTAAATTAATCATTTTATTTTTTTCTCTGAAAAATCTCTATAAAATAAACAAAAACAATTAAAATTTTTTAAATTTAATATGAGAGACTGATTGTGAGTCTATTTGTTATCATTTTCCACTTATTTTTATAGTCCCCAAACATATTTACATTTAAAAATTCCGGCATTTTAAAAATAAAGAAAGGGCAAATATTTCTTAATTTCCCTGCCCTTTTTACTTTAGATGTGTAAAGACAAAAAAAAATATCCGGCGTTTTCCTTTGATAACTTTTTTGTCCTTTTATTTTTTAATAAATAACAACGGCATTTTCCTTTGATTTTTTATTTTGCACTTTTATATTTTTTAAATAAAAATAAAATGGCTAATTTTGAAATAATTTATTAAATAAATTTAATTATCTTTTTTTATTTTAACATTCAAAGTAACTGAAATTTTGTTATTGTTCTATTACACAAACATAATTTTAAGTTAAGGTTGGCGGTTCCTGGGAAATCTTTGGGTATCCAGAACCAATAACCGAGTTGGAAATTTCCGGATACCCGGGATTTTCCGGTTTTGAATACCAGGAACTGACAACCTTATTCTAATCGATTTAAATCAAAAAATCGCAAAATATCGAACAAATATTGCAATAAAATGAAAAAAAGAGCAATAAAGTGAATTGTTTTGAAGATTTTATTTTTCAACTCTCACTCTACATTTAAAGTGTTATTTATGGTGATGTGACTTTTGCGGCGCGTACACTTGCGGCTCAGACATTTGCGGCCCAGACACTTGCGGCTCGCCCCTATTTTGACACTTGCGGTCCCGACACTTGCGGCTAAGAAATTTTCGGCGCAGACATTTGCGGCTATCAACTTGCGGCCCAGACTATTGCGGTTTTGCTATTTGAGGCTCCCCCCTATTGTGACACTTGCGGCCCGACATTTGCGGCCCAAACATTTGCGGCCCCGACATTTGCGGCCATGATTAAAAAATTAAGTAAATTAAAATAAAAAAATACTAATTATCGTTCAATAAATCAATTTTATTCTCCAAGTTTATTCTCCTTGGCATAATAATCCGGAAAATCCGGAAATCCGAATTTTTTAGACCAGGATCCGGACCAGAGATAACCAAATTTCTTTTCATTTCGTTTCGCTATTTCGTGCCTTTTTATCCATTTCGTTTCGTTTCGGAGCGAAATAAAATAAACTTTCGGACGAAACGAAATAAAAATACATCCCTAATGACATGAATTTTTGTAAAAATTTTTTGCAATTTTTTTTATTTTTACGAAATTTTGTCGGATTTGGGTTATTTTTTATACAGGACCCGGACCGAATCCGAGTATTTTGCTCGACCCGTATCGAATTTTCCTGATCAAAATTCGGGAAATACGGGTTTTATCGAAATACCCGGATTCAAAACCACTGGATTCGGAAAATCCGGACCGGGTCCGGTCCGGTTTATAATACTTTAATTCTAATAATACTTTTATTTACTTAGTTATTTAATCATCGCCGCAAATGTCGGGGCCGCAAATGTCAAAACCTCAAATGTCAGGGCCGCAAGTGTCACAATAGGGGGGAGCCTCAAATGGAAAAACCGCAATAGTCTGGGCCGCAAGTGTCTGGGCCTCAAGTTGATAGCCGCAAATGTCTGCGCCGAAAATTTCTTAGCCGCAAGTGTCGGGACCGCAAGTGTCAAAATAGGGGCGAGCCGCAAGTGTCGGGGCCGCAAGTGTCTGAGCCGCAAGTGTACGCGCCGCAAAAGTCGGCTAATCTTATTTATTAGAAGGGTCATTTTAAATAATTTTTACGGTACTTTCTTTTAAATTGTTTAAATGAAGCTGGACTTGAAAATGTTTTTACTTGTTGCCAAAAAGATGAAAGAAGAAAAAATTGAAGAAAATTTTGAAGAAGAAAAATTTTTTAGAATTAAAGGATAAAAATGAAGGAGAAAATAATTGTTAGGGAATTAAATTTGGAAATTTTTAAAGTATCTGAATGTTCTTAAAAGAGGATAAACGTAAAGACGAGGGGAACAAATTTGTTATGTTGCCCTATCACGTTTTAATAATCTTCCTTGTAAATGCCTTTCCAATATTATTAGAAGAAAAATGGTGGAGGGGAACTTAGATCCCTTTGTATCTATTTTAGCTGCTTAAAGCCTTTGTAAATCCTTTGTTTATACTCGCTGTTATGAAGAGAGAAAAAAGAAAGAGCATAAGCATTCACCTCAATTTCTAACATTAAAATAAACATCGACACTTTTCTTTGAAATTATTTTCCTGCCTAATGCTACGCTTACATAAAAAACGCAAGACGCCGGCGGAAGACGCTCGGCGACAAGACGCCGGCGGAAGACGCAGTTTCGTGCTTACATAAAATCGGCGTCTTCCGCTAAGCGGGAAGACGCAAAGCGTCAAAACGCTAGTTTTATGTAAGCACAAAACAGCGTCTTCCGCCGGCGTCTTGACGCCGAGCGTCTTCCGCAAAAAGCTGCGTTTTTTATGTAAGCACTAATTGCGGACTAAATTTATAACAAATATTTTATTGAAATTAAATTGAACAAATAATATTAAATCATTTTATCCTGCCATGATACCGATCCAACTTCAATGGTAAAATATTCTACTTAGAGGTCGGCGCGGGACGGGATCCCGACGGGATTTTCCGTGATCCCGGATTTTTGTTATTATCGGGATCATTCGGGAGGTAATTCTTCGGTTGTCGCCCCCCCTTTTTATGTTTCCCTGACCATTTTGAGCTTTTTTGCTTGACATATAATTTATTATATCCTAGGAACTGGAACTAGTTCCAGAGTATATCCTAGGAACTGGAACTAGTTCCAGAGATATTTTGGAACTTTCCCATCAGCCTCGATTTTCCCCAAAACTTTTTGTCTTTAACTATATGGTACGAGCCCTAGTCATTAAGAAATGGTCAATTTTTCATGTTTTTGGTATTATTTGATAGAGAATCAAAAGCTCTACAACATAACAAAAAATCAGAATTTTTGACCGATTGATAAAAAAGTTATGATATAAATACTTTTTTATCTCGAAAATCTCAAAAATATCGAAAAAAAAGAATATTTTTTGCAAAAAGTATACCTTTTTCAAAATCAATTTTAACCCATAAGATTTAACTTTAAAAATATAAAATTTATATTGATCGATAGAGAATGAATTGAATTTTCAAAATCTTTTTAAATTTTGAAAATCGGATTAGAATTGGCCGAGAAATGATCAAGACGCTAAAAGTTGCCGCAAAAAATTCAAACATGTTTGAATTAAAAAAAGAGACGCCGGCGTCAAGACGCCGGCGGAAGACGCAGTTTATGTAAGCACTCAAAAAAAGCGGCAAGACGCCGGCGTCAAGACGCCGGCGGAAGACGCGAGTTATGTAAGCACGCAAAAAAAGCGTCAAGACGCCGGCGTCTTGACGCCGGCGGAAGACGCAGTTTATGTAAGCACTCAAAAAAAGCGGCAAGACGCCGGCGTCTTTTACTCTCCTCATTTCCCATTATCTTTTCTGCCGCAAGACGCGCGCGTTTTTTATGTAAGCGTAGCATAAATATAAGTATGAAATAAAAGGTAAAAGTTAGCGGAAGGTCCGTGGCAGAGTGGGTTATCAATAAATAAATGAACGTGTCGGATTTTGTGTTTTGAATGAATTAATCCCACTTGCAGGTCCTTGACCTCCGCTTTTTTGTTATTTTCTTTTTAAAAGTAAGTACTTAATTCAATAAGGAGTCAACAGTATTTCACTGACAGTGGATGAAGCTAAGGCGAAATATGGGGAATTTTTGTCACTGGCTTTAAAAATTCCGAATTGGCCTCTGATGTGAAAATCCAAAAATTTTGTCAATTGCACTAAGAATTTGGATCCGTTTAGCTTAGAAAATCAAAATTTTTGATATTCTTTCCTTTCTGATCTACAAGAGAATACGACGTAAGGCAAAAATCACGCAAAAGTGAAGGAGTTGGTAAGAAATTCGAGTATGATCAAAATTGAAATACGAGCAAAACATTTATTACTTCACTTTATTCACATTATATATTACAAACAAACAAATACTATGTACATACAAAAGCAACAATATCACAAATGGCAAATAGAACAATATCACAAGTGGCAAATATTAGAGAAAAATACATACAAGAGTAATATGAGGAAATATGTGAGTTTATGGGATATATCCTAGCAATTACAGCTGTTTAGAAGAGCATCTTCATCCATTGCGCTATTCTCTACCTCTGCCGTATTGGGGAATTCGGAATTCCTGTCGTCACTCGGCGCAGCTGGCGGCCAACATTATCACTCTGGATCGGGACGATCTCGTTGTTTCCAGTGAAGGTGATGCGACGGCTGTTCGGTTGAGGCGGTGTGGGACCATTACGAAGCACGGCCGGAGGCTGGAATTGCGCCAAGGCTGCCATACTCAAGATCTAGAGAAAAGAAAAAAGTTAGAAATGAAGTTTTGTTATCAAATAAAGAAAAGACACCTGCTGCCGCATCACTTGCTGCACATCCACATTCAGCCTGACAGAAGGCGGATCATGAGCATCTTCTTGCGCCAAGGTGATCATTGCAGCAGCAATCGCCGGACGGGAAGTAGGACGGCCAATGACCAGGTCGACGCGGCCGGTCTAAAAACAAAGAAAAATCAAAATTAGCCTTAAATTCTGGCTTCTAGTCCCACCTCTTTCATGCTCTTTACCAACAGCGTTTGCGCTACGTCAGCTTGCGTCACACGAACCCCGCTCACGTAGACGATATGGTCGAAGACTTTGAGATGAGGCGAGCACATCGAGTCGGGTTTCACATCAGAGACGAACACTCGATTGTCCCTTGTTTTGATTGAGAGACCCAGACGAATTCCTGGCACTCGGTCGATGGTCACTAGCTGAATGGAAAAAAGATTAAAATTTTTATATGGTCTACTCCGTATCGTTTGCTTACCGAATAATGGTAGCCGTTTCGCCTGACGAGGGTATTCCTTATATCAGCAGGGAGATTGTCACTCGGATCGGTCCGAACTTCTGGTGGCAGCTCCTCGTTCGATCTTGGTCGCCGAACCTCAATCGTTGCCGTTGGATGTGCAATGCCCATGATCTGGTAGAAGTTCTTCAGGTTGCTGATCTTTCTTCCGTTGACTGACAGGATTGTGTCGCCGACCTGCAGATGTCCAGACGCAGGGGAGCCTTCTTGCACATCGGTGATGACGAGCCTTAAAGAAAAAATTTATAGAGATGATTAAAAATTAGCGGAGAATAGTATAAGCGTTTACCCGTCATTTGGCCTGGCGCCAAGGGGCTCGAACTCCTCGAGCGGTATTTGAACCGTCATCGTTGGTGTTGACGCAGTAGCAGTAGACATTGCAGCAATCCCGACGAGAGCTTGACCGGCGCAGTAGAAGCAGGAGTAGTTGTTGTGAGTTGTGGGAAATGTGATTCAGTCGAAAAAAGGCTGCTTTTTATAGCAATAAATTAGCTTGTAACTTGAATAGTGGCAAACACTAACTATAAAAAGCAGCCTTTTTTCGACTGAATCACATTTCCCACAACTCACAACAACTACTCCTGCTTCTACTGCGCCGGTCAAGCTCTCGTCGGGATTGCTGCAATGTCTACTGCTACTGCGTCAACACCAACGATGACGGTTCAAATACCGCTCGAGGAGTTCGAGCCCCTTGGCGCCAGGCCAAATGACGGGTAAACGCTTATACTATTCTCCGCTAATTTTTAATCATCTCTATAAATTTTTTCTTTAAGGCTCGTCATCACCGATGTGCAAGAAGGCTCCCCTGCGTCTGGACATCTGCAGGTCGGCGACACAATCCTGTCAGTCAACGGAAGAAAGATCAGCAACCTGAAGAACTTCTACCAGATCATGGGCATTGCACATCCAACGGCAACGATTGAGGTTCGGCGACCAAGATCGAACGAGGAGCTGCCACCAGAAGTTCGGACCGATCCGAGTGACAATCTCCCTGCTGATATAAGGAATACCCTCGTCAGGCGAAACGGCTACCATTATTCGGTAAGCAAACGATACGGAGTAGACCATATAAAAATTTTAATCTTTTTTCCATTCAGCTAGTGACCATCGACCGAGTGCCAGGAATTCGTCTGGGTCTCTCAATCAAAACAAGGGACAATCGAGTGTTCGTCTCTGATGTGAAACCCGACTCGATGTGCTCGCCTCATCTCAAAGTCTTCGACCATATCGTCTACGTGAGCGGGGTTCGTGTGACGCAAGCTGACGTAGCGCAAACGCTGTTGGTAAAGAGCATGAAAGAGGTGGGACTAGAAGCCAGAATTTAAGGCTAATTTTGATTTTTCTTTGTTTTTAGACCGGCCGCGTCGACCTGGTCATTGGCCGTCCTACTTCCCGTCCGGCGATTGCTGCTGCAATGATCACCTTGGCGCAAGAAGATGCTCATGATCCGCCTTCTGTCAGGCTGAATGTGGATGTGCAGCAAGTGATGCGGCAGCAGGTGTCTTTTCTTTATTTGATAACAAAACTTCATTTCTAACTTTTTTCTTTTCTCTAGATCTTGAGTATGGCAGCCTTGGCGCAATTCCAGCCTCCGGCCGTGCTTCGTAATGGTCCCACACCGCCTCAACCGAACAGCCGTCGCATCACCTTCACTGGAAACAACGAGATCGTCCCGATCCAGAGTGATAATGTTGGCCGCCAGCTGCGCCGAGTGACGACAGGAATTCCGAATTCCCCAATACGGCAGAGGTAGAGAATAGCGCAATGGATGAAGATGCTCTTCTAAACAGCTGTAATTGCTAGGATATATCCCATAAACTCACATATTTCCTCATATTACTCTTGTATGTATTTTTCTCTAATATTTGCCACTTGTGATATTGTTCTATTTGCCATTTGTGATATTGTTGCTTTTGTATGTACATAGTATTTGTTTGTTTGTAATATATAATGTGAATAAAAGATGTAATAAAAGTTTTGCTCGTATTTCAATTTTGATCATACTCGAATTTCTAGAACAACATCCACTCCATTTTTGCCTAGTAACTCCTCCATTCCCTTCCTCCTCTATTTTTGCCCTCGCTGTATTCTCTCGAACTTCGGCAATAGGCAAAAAAAAAAAAATCAAAAAATTTCACATTAGAGGCCAATGCAAAACGTTTGGAAATGCTTCTTTTCGTCCTTGCTAATATTGTTGTCACTGTCCTTGTAGTAGTTTAGTACGGTATTTGCCGGCTCGGAAGCACCTAACAAAAACATTTATTACTCGCGAGTCTGTCATTTTTTGACTCCTCAGTTTCTACATTTCGTCTTCCGTTTTTAAATTTTATTTTGCTACTCATTCCAAATTCCGCTTTTTAGTATGAGTGTAAAGAGAGTAAAAAAGGAGAGAGAGAACAAATATATTCACTCTACTCTAGCATAGAAAGAACATCGACACTTTTCACTAAAATTATTTCCACACATAAATATAATAAATTTTTTACGAAGAATTCCGCAGAAGGTCCGTGGCATGTGGGTTATCATGTCAATAAACGAATTTGTTTAAATCTAAAAGGCCCACTTGCAAATCCTTGACCGCTGCTTTTTTTGCAATTTTTAACAAGAAATGGAAATTGAAAAATTATTAGTAAATTTTTCCTTTTTTCTAAATAAATCGGCATTCATTTTTAATTCAATTATAAAATTTTCCAATATCCTTTCCTTTCTACTAGATGATAAAAATAGTAAAATAAAAAGGGCCTTTGACTTTAGTTTTGAAATTTAATAAGGTTTGGCATTTTGTTTATCCAAATTATTTTTATCTCTAATTTACCTTTAATGTAATCTCTAAAAAATGTTTAGAATTGGCAGACAGCGAAAAATATGAGAGAGTCAAAAAATTAATTGTCTCTTGGGAGACGAACGACATTTTATTTGTCAGACTTGTATTCTTTCACAAATTTTGCCTCAATGTGTTTCCCGGAAAAGAATCGGTTAACTTTGGGCCAACAAAAAACACATGATGTACATTCGTCCTAAGCGTGTCTGGCTGTTGGTGTAGACATCCTCTCCCTCTTTTAGCAGTTGTTCATAAACTAAAAAAAGTCACCACCATCACCTATAAGATTGTACATTTTTGGTTCAATCTTTGCTCGCGCATATTTTAATGTTTCCTTTCTTTACAGTCCTTCTTCCTTTTTTTATTGTCGATTTTTTTATTTGATTTATTGGGTCCTCCTGACGCTTTTTTTATTTTCAGAGCTTTTTAACATAAAACTTTTGCAAAAAAATTTATTTTTAGGTTTAAAATTATGTAAAAGAATTGAAAATGTTCTCTTCTTTAAAAAGAGCTAATTATAACGTAATTGAGGAAGTTGAGGACGAAAACGAGCCTGGAACTCTAAAAAGTATGGAACTCGGCAGAGTTACCGATATAAAATTAATCGAGGAGGAGGAGGTTGAGGAGGAATGTCATCAACATTTTGAATCATCAGCACCTCCTATTCATCACGGTGTTGCTGTTTCTTTTAGTGGTAAAGGAGATGCAGAATTGCAAGCTTCTAGTGATCCAGCTGCTGAATGGGATCATATTAAAGACGTTGACCAGGTTTATTTTTTAAATGAAATATTTTGGGGAGGGGAAGGTAGGTTCTTGTAGATATAAGGGCAATCCCGGAGAATTGGGGTCCCTTCGAAAAAAGTTTAAAAATAAGAAAAATGATTTTTCTATTGTTTTTTTTCCGCGTGACCCCCAATTCTCCGGGATTGCCGATAAAAGTAGTATTCTCAACATTTTGTCAGGTTGCAAGGGTTTTTGCATGTTTACAATTCAAAATTTTTAAATTAGGTTAAATAAGCTTGAGCAGGGACTGCCCTTTAGTTGAAAATAATTTTCTTGGTCCTAAATTTTGCCTCATTTTAACTCGGTCGATTCCTGGAAATGATTTTTAAAAAATTTCAAGTTTTTTGCCTACATCTACGAGTATTACCAACAACGGGGCCTTACTTGCATTGCCCTCCGTTCTTTATTTTCTCTTTTACGTTTTGCATTTGTTGTTCTCTTTTCTACATTTTTGGTCAATTGTGTTGACTACGATGTACTTTTTTATAACCGCAATACAACTTTGGATGGGCGGCCACTTCCCGCTAAACGGGCTATTCACGTTTGGATTTTTTCAAATTTATTTTAAAATTATTTTTAGAATGCTTTCATTCCCCGTTGCTATGCCCGCATAAATCCTTTAATGTCACTGGCGCTGTTTTTAGCTGCCCTTTTTTGGTTGGCACATCTTTTTCGAATTTTTTGTCGACTTGTACAGTTTTCTGAGATTCGGCGATTTTTTATTAGTCAATTGGAGATTGCTGATTCTGAAATGCAAAATTTGACATGGGCACAGGTTTTAAAATAATTTTGTTATTCTACGTCGAATTTTATGGGAAAAGTCCACTCTTTAATGATTTCGGGACAATTTTGATGACAAAATTAGTTTGTAACACTTTTGCGGATTGTCCGCAAGTTTTACTTTAACAATGAAAATTTTAAGGTTAACATTTTAAATTCTTTTTAAGGTCGTTGAACGTTTGTGTGGTGTCCAAAAAAGATTACATTTAATCGTCAACCGTGAGGCTATCACTCCTTTGGATGTTTGCCAACGGATTTTACGACACAAAAATTATTTTGTGGCGCTTGTATATTATGTGAATTGAAATTTATTTTAAATTTAAAAATAATTTTTTCAGAATATTCTCCCTCCAAGAATTCGTCTTCCCTTCTTTGGACATGTCCATTATTTATCAAATGGATTGCGATTTAATTTGGAATGGCTTTTATTTTGGGGACCTTGGAGTCCTTGGAAAGGCCCTTATGCACTTAAAGATGAATTTAAGGATCCTGCAAAGTTGCCGATGATTGGCAAGTTTTTTAAATTAATTTTTTGGGTATTTTTTATTGTAGGCAAAGAATTACTGTTAATTTACCGTTTCCTTTTTTGTAGTGTAGTGGGATAATTTTAGATTTTGGCTTTCTTTTTGTGTGGGTTCGATACTTCTTGAGTCCCTTTCATTCTTTCTTTATTTTAAATTAATAAAACAAATGTCTTTTTGAATTTCTTTTCAATTTATCTTGATTTTTATTATTTTTTAATTTATTTTTTTTTAATTTAAGTTCGCCAACTCCAACGAACTTTAACAATAATGTCTATTGCAAATTTAATATTCTTCCCATTTGTATTTGTCTATCAATTACTATTTTCATTCTTTTCTTATTCTGAACATTATCAACGTGATCCAAATGTTTTTGGAATGAGAAAATATTCAAATTATGGAAGGTTTTTTTAATTATTAAAATTTTTCCTTAAAAAATAATTTTTAAGAGAAAAACTTCGTCATTTCAATGAAATGGATCACGAATTGGATGCTCGTTTAAATAAAAGTTATGAATTTGCAGCTCGTTATACAGACCAATTTATTTCTCCATTGACCCAAATTATTGCGAGAAATATTGCTTTTGTGGCTGCTTCTTTTTTTGTTGTTTTGTGTGCTTTAACTGCTATTGATGAAGATACTTTAAAGGTTTTCTTTTTTGTTAATTTTATAAATTTATTTTTTTGTCCAATGTTTATATTTGAGATTATCTTTTTGGATTTGTATTTTTTTATGTAAAAGAAAATTTAAAAAGTTTTCTTAACTTGACGGACCCCCAGAACCTGACAGACCCCATTTCTTCCTCCCCATGTTTCTTCCTATTTTCCGTCAGATTCAATATTACCATTCAATTATCTAAAAAAAATTTCCAAAATTTCCTCTTCATTTAAAAAAATTTAAAAAAAATTTTTGTTTAAATTTATGTTAGATTGAACATGTAACAACAATACTTTCAATAACCGGTGGGGCTGTCCTTATTTCTCGTATTTTTATTCCAAAAGAAAATATGGTTTTTTGTCAACATCTTTTAATGCAACAAGTTTTATTTTTCTTTAATTTAAAAAATATTAATTAAAAAAAAGATTGTTGCAAATATTCATTATGCGCCTCGTTCTTGGCTAGCAAATGCACATTCTACTGAAATTCATAAAGAATTTGTACAAATTTTTCGAATGAAGACAGAATTGTTGATAGAAGAATTATTGAGCCCTTTCCTTTCCCCTTTTATTCTTTATTTTTGGTAAGTTTTTGTAGGGAAAATTTTTAATTTTTATTCAGTGTATGGAAACGAGTACCAGAAATTGTTGTGTTTTTACATGAAAATACAGTCACTTTAGAAGGTTTTTTAATTTTATTATTCGTTGACTACAGAGTGTTTTAATAGTGATAAATTTCTAAAAACTAACAGACTAATTGTAAGGCAAGGATTTTTCCTTTGCCAAAACTTCTTGAGCTTCCTGGTTTTTTTTGAAACTAAAGGCCGTGATCTAATTCGATTTAGATTTGAATTCTTAAACAAGCCATAGCTTTTTTAAAACCTTAATTTCTACTTATTTTTCTTACCCTATAAAAATTCAGATAACCTTTTGTTGTTTTTCATATTTTAAATTAAATTCAAATTATTGTAGGTCTCGGTGATGTTTGTTCGCTTGCTCAAATGAATATTGCCCGTGATGGAGATACCCGACTTGTATCATTAAATCAATCTGTTTGTGTTGATGATAATGAAAATAATAAAAATAAAGGTTTAATATTTCTTAAAATTTAGAAAAAAATTTCTAAAAATTTAAAGTTTCAACAAGACGAAGAAGAACACCTTGTGGGAAAGTAGAATTGTCCCTTTTAAATTTTGCTACTCAAAATCCTGATTGGGTGCCTACTGGGCCTGAAGCTGAATTTATTTCTAATGTTAAGGATTTGGTATTTTTCGGAATTTTTTCTTTAAAATTCAAAAAATTTTTTATTTTTTAAAGGTTTCAACAGAAGTTTTTGGAATTTTGGAAAATATGGAAAATCAACGTTTATTATATCAAAGATCGAATAATAAAAGTGTTGTTTTACCTACTAACGCAGAGAAGAATTACCCTTTAACTATGCAAAAGTCATCTGATGAGAATGTGACTCCAACAACTAGTCAACAACAACCTGGCCCGGTTTTGGCAGAACAAAAGGAGGAAGAGGTTGGAATTTTTTTAATTTTAAATAAGGTTGTTTGACAACAATGGCGTAGCCAGGTGGTCGATTTCGGAGGGGGGCTAACATTAAATAAGTTATCGGTTATATAGACATTCTATTCTTTAATACTAGTTATCCCTTGATTTGAATAGATTTTTACGTTGAACTTGTGGTGTGTGGTACTTGGAAGAATTCCTCCATCCCTGACACGATTTTTTATTATTCCCGTTTCACTGCGTTTTTGGGCGTCACTCAAATTTCAATTTTTCATTTCAATCAATTTTTTAAAGACATTTACCGGTGTTGGAGGACTTCCCTCAGCTTCACAAATTGAAAGACAACGCCAATTACAAGAACAATCACTTGCCAATATTTTAAGTAACAGTTCTTCATTGCGTGGAATGTTAACAACATCAATCCATTCACAATTAAATTTACAACAACAACATCAAATGTTACTTGCTTCTAGTTTTATAGCCCCAGCATCATTGTCTGCAACAGTACAACCACGGACTGAACAAGGTTTAAATTTATTAATTTTTTAAAATAATTTGTTTAGTCCCTTTAAAAATAAAAATAAGGGTCTTGAGTTATTTTGGGGCTCTATAATATGTTTCTGAATTTTTTATAAATTGATTTTTTTATTTTTTATAATTCACCATTTTCCCTTTTTTGGATCTATTAGATAATAATTTTTATATAAATTTTTTAAAATTAATTTACAATCATTTATCCCCTTAAAAATAAAAAAATGGGTCTGCGGGAACGGGAATCTCTCCATATTCGATTTTTTGAAATTATTGGAATTTCTTTTTTTATTTTTTAAATTTTCTTTTAGAAAACAAAGCAACAGAAATGTCACTTAATGCATTAGCAATTAACCATATTCTTGCAATAAATACAAATCCAAATGAATTAATTCAACAACAACAAAATGTTCGTTCTCGTTATAATAAAAATAATCGTGGCTATGGTTCTATCCGAAATAAAGGAGGAATAATAACAGAAACTCAACCAATTTTGGATAGTATGGCAGAAAGTAATATTTGGGGAGTTCCTGATTTAACAGCAACAAGTCGTTTAAATAATTTATTTACTTCTTCAATTAATTCGTCTTCAATGTTATTGGGAGGAGGAGGAGGGGGGAATTTTAAAGGAAGAAATGAAAGGGAAGAAGAAGAAGAAATGAAACAAATAAATAAAACAAAAGAGAATCAACCATCAACATCAACAACAACAAGTTTATCTATAACAGCACCACCTCCACCACCTTTACAACCTTTTTATGTTGATGATAAAAAAGTAATGAAGAAATAAGAAGTGAGGAAAGAAATGAGAGAGGTAAAAAATAAAAAGGAAGGGAATAAATAATTTTTTTGAAGGCAATTATTATTTAACGAAAATCCTTAAAAAATCTTTTTCAAAAAAAAATTAAAAATGTAACTTCCCATTTATAAATATGCAATTTAAAAACAAATGATTCATGAATTTAAACTTAAAAAATTTTTTTCGTCTCTAAATATCCCTCTTTAAAGGAGAGAAGATATCTAAATTTTTGGATTTATTAATTTTCGTTTCTTTACAGAAAAATTTCTTTTTGTAAAGAATAATTCATGTTTATTTGAATAATTCATGTTTATTTTATTTTTTGTACCGCTTTATTTTTTTGATTTAAAAAAACGTTTTTCGAATACAATTTGCTGCCAGCTTTTTGAAAATAATTTTTTTATTAAATTTTATATTTTACCTACTAATTAAATTATAAAATTAGTTTTTTGTAGGGAGGATATTTTTAGACTAAAAATACTTTTTTGGTATATCAGAATTTACACAATTAACTATTTTATTAATTTAAATAAATTTGTACAAAATATTTTGTAGACTTAAATAGGTTGTTAAATTAAAATACGCCTCTCTCTCTCCCATATATATATTTTTTTCATTTATACAATAAGGGACTGGTCAAGACTTTTAGTGATTTTATTAAAAATTAAAACCGAAATTTAAAATTTTTTTTAATTTTCCATACAATAAAACAAGTATTTGGTCAAAACCCAGAAAATTAAAAAAAGAGTGATCGGTGTTGACCAACCCTACAATAATGCATTAATCTTTTTACCTCTTTATTCAATCAAATAATTCATTTTTCTCCTGTTTTTTGCTCACAATTTAAAATGTAAAATATTTTGTCTTCTGCTTAAATAAATGTTCTTTTAGTTAAAAATTAAAAAAAACTTTCTTAATACTCTAATAATTGGGAAAAAGCAATGCTTTTTATTAAAATACCTTTGTGTGAGGCCTCTACCGAAAATTGAATGAAAAATGTGGAACTCAGGGTTGTTCGCCAAAATAGTCGCGTGGCGTGCCAAACTTTTAAAATTGGTAAAAAATCTAACAATTTTCAATCCGAAAAATACTTTTGACATTTTTTTTATATTCTCTTACTTTGTCTACCTTAAAATTATTTTTCATCTCAGATGTTTCCCAAGCCTTTTTAACAGGAAATTTAATTTTAAATTTTGAATAATTAAAAAACAAAAAATTTAGTAAAAGTAAAGTTTGTATTTTCTCCCAATCATTCCTTTCCGATTTTTTTATTTGACTTTTTCTATTCAATTTTCCTTAGTTTTTTAAATTCGCATCTAATTAAGGCGAAGAAGATCAAAATTTTCAAACTTTGGTAAAGAGGGGAAAGGGAAACAAACTTTATTTTTACCCAAAAAATATTCTGTAAACTAACTCAAAATAAAAACTCAGTGTTTTTTTGTATTTCTTTTATTAAACATATTTTTTCAATAAAAATTGTAAAAAAACAAAATATTTAGAAATAAACAATTTAGCGTTTTTTTAGTTTCGATTTGCTTGAATAAATTAAACAAATTGGTATTTTTTCTTTAATGATATAAAAATATACCGATCCAAAACATTTAATTTTAAAATTTTTCCAAAAATACGCTAAAAATACCAGGGTTGTTCCCCGTCCCACCCTCCTCTCATGGCACTCCGAAAATATTCCCCATGATTCCCGCCGAGGAACAACCCCAAAATTATATTCGTTTTGTTACAATAATGAAAAGTGTCCCAAAAATAATTTAATCAGATTTTTTAGGGATTTCTTTTTACTATAATTTACAAAATAATTAAATTTGGATTGCCGAGTTTCTTAAACTTTTTCTCAATTTTATAGGTAAATTAGACAAATGAAACCTTTTCACAAGGCATACTTGGAAGAATTTTAATTTAAAAAATTCAAAATAATTTTAACGTCCTCAAATACAAATTTAATTAAAATTCCCCAAAAGTTACCTTGGAAGAGCCGAAAATATGGGATTTAATCGATATTTTATTCACCTACTGGAACATCTTCGGATACTTTCTTCCTCGGTCTTCCTCTCTTCCGCTCAATTTTAGGCTTCTTTTCAATTTTTATTTGAGTTGAAACGTTGGTTTGATTTGGATCACTGCCCGAAGCCATTTGATTTGTAAAATTCCATTTTTGACCCAAACTAGCTTCAGATTTAATTTCAATAGTTGTTGAGTTATGGTTAGATTCTTTAAAATAAAAAAATATTAAACTTAAACATTTTAAACAAAAACCTTTGCATTTCGGACAATGCCAAGTACCATTAGGCGGTTGATCGAGTCCAATACAGAATGTATGATAACCACGGTCACACAAATCACAACACATCATGGCAGCCTGAAATAGAGATTATGCTTTATTTTTAAATCAAATTTTAAATTCTACCAAAGGACATTATCGAGCTATGACCAAGAATATTACAAAAAACTTATTCCATCGTGTAGCAAGGGCGTTTCCAGGGGGCTTCTGGGGCTAAAGCCCCCCCCCTCAAAATGGGGAAAGGAAAAATTTAAGGAGGATTGGGAAAAAGGCTAAATTTTTTCCTATGACCGTCCTAATTCAATTAATTTTCGCCTACGGCGCTGAAAAAATAAAAATATGGTTCAAAAAATTTCTGTTGGGAACGCCAAAGTAAACGAAAAATTTTTACGCATACCCAATTCGTGAAATCGACCCCCTAGCTACGCCCTTGTCGTGTAAAGCACGGTTGATAACCTATTGCCAATTTTTGGCTTTTTTCCCTTGACCCCCAAAAAAATTACTTCTTGGTCAGGTTGTTGACAGACATAGCATCGTTTACAATCTATACAAAGCCAATCATATTGCCTAATCATATCCACCATTGATTGAGGCATATCAATACAAGAAGAATGCATTCGTTGTTGACAGGATGAACAACGGACCATAGAAGATTTTCCTTGGAATAAGCCAGCATCCGGAAGCTGACAAATTGAGCAATTGGGCGTTGAAGGTTTGACTGAAGCAATCGGAATATTCGAAGAAAATGAGGGGGACGCTGAAGTAATTGGTAGAGGTCGAGGAAAAGAAGAGAAAGTTGAATTCTGGAAGGATGAAATTAAAAAAATTTTTACAAAAGAAAACCTTTTTAGAAGTAAATCCGTTATTGTCCCCTCCAATTTTACGCATCTTTGGAGGCAACGGCCTCTGCAAACTTTTTGGAAAATCACATTCTCTTGCCATTATTGTATTTTTAAAATCTTCTTTGGCGTCTTTTTGATCCAAAATTGTTGATTCTGTAGTTTCTTTAGGTCCAGACAGTTCTTCTTCCGTTAATTTAATTGATGGTGGAGATAAATCCCGTTTGGGTGGAAATAATCGTCGAGTGTTCAGAACAGTATTAAAAGGTAAAGAACGCAATTCTGTCGAGGTAAACCTTATAAATTTATTTTTAAAAATACTTTTAAAGAATTTATACTTTTTGTAGTAATCTGTATATTGTCCAGGAACTAAATAAACTGGATAAATTGATGGTTTAGTATATTCCTTTGATACACGCATCCATTTATTTAGCGGTGAATGAATTATCTAAAAATTATTATTAAAAATATTTTTTGGAGTTTAAGGGAGGGGGTGGGAAAAGTGATTCGGTAACAGTCGCGTTCAATATTTTTTCTAGGGGAAACTCTAAAAAGAGGACAAAATGGTCAGGGGTCAAATTTAAATATTCGCTCGATATTAAAGGGTGAGCTGAAGTCGATTTTAAATTTTGTAATTCAGACAACAAGGGCGTAGCCAGGGGCTTCTGGGGCTATAGCCCCCTGAAATCGGGAAAATGAAATAATTTTAGGAGAGAAATGATCAGAAAAGTATTTTTTACTTCTACAACTCCCTAAATTCTCAACGCTAAATTTGGCGCATACCCCATTTTAGCCCCCTGAAATTGACTCCTTGGCTACGCCTTTGTCAGACAATGTCATGTGTTAGATAAAATCTAGTACTAGATGTCGTACACAAACGAGACTCTTATTAGTTATTCTTTTATAAAAAAATTTTTTTCAAACAAACATTTGTGTTTAGTTCCCAATATTGTGTTCTTTCTGCTTTCCGAACAGCTTGTAAATCAGAATTGAAAGTAAAAGAACTTTGAATAGCCTTTTGTCGCAATTCTGCCAATTTTTTTGCATCCGTTTTAATCTGAAAAAAAATTTTTTTAAGGATTTCTTAAAAATTCAAAAAAATTTACAGCTTCAAATTCTTTTTGTTTTTCAAGCATAGCCTGCCTAACACGTTCATTACAGGCTTTTTGGTAAGAAGAATATATTTCGGGATATTCTGATGACATTAATTCGTAAACATCCACAGCATGGAGTGCTGTCAAATGATGAGCAGTTAGCGCGATTTGAACCTTCTTTTCTTTTAAAAGCATATCTCGTTCTGCTGGCTCAATAGTTCGGCGATGCATTTCTGAATATATTTAATAGTTGTTTACTCTGTGTATACACAAAAGGACTGCTCGCAAATAGAAAAAAATTCCGTAGCAGAAACCCACAGATCAAAAAATCCAAACAATCCGAAATTGCATGCAGCCCTGATACACAGAAAAACTGCCTGTATCAGGGATCTAGCCGACCAGTTCCCTAAAACCGTGAATTGAATTTTTATGTCGGCCAGATCCCTGTTGTGTTTAAGCCATTCTTCAAAAAATTTTTATACTAAAAATCAGTAAACGATTATTTAAAAAAGTTTGACGAGTTGATTGTGCTCACATAAGACAAAAATTGACACAAATAGTCAAATCTTTGCCAGAACTAAACCTTTCAATTCAACTCGCTAAATTCTTCCAAACATCCTTTTACTCGGTTTTTATCAAAAATCTTTTTCTGAAGACGTGTATAAAGAGTAAAAAAAGTACCTGGATATTTACGTTTGAAAGAACTGATACCAAGAAGTTCAGATATTTGTTCCTGTTAATTAAGGAATTTGATAGGAAAGAGAAATCTTCCAAGCAAACCTGGATAAAAAAACGTTCTCCCGATTTTTGAGGCCATTCATATTCTATAATATCTGATGGTTGAATAGGAACATGAGTAACATCAGAAGACAAAAACTGTCTGTTAGGCGCTTTCAAAACCTTTTGCTTAACAAATAACGATCCATTAACTGAAACAAAGATTTTCATCAAACTTCTCTAAAATATAAAAAAAACCTTCTGATCGTTGTGAGGAAACCGAATCAGTACAACCAGAAATCGGGGCAAGAAATGTATTGTCTGCCAATTCATCAGTTGCCTCAGCGGCTAACGAGTTTTCCACAGTGTCCAAACTGTCATTGGCAACAACTTCCAAATCAACACTATTGGTAATCTCGACAGGTGATTTTTCTGCTGGATCATCAGAAACGTCTGAGGAAGAGGGAACAGTGCAAGGTGTTGATGAAATTAAACTATTCTCTTCTGGATTATCTTCAATAACTCCATCAAGTTGAATTTCCGAATGATTTTCTTGTTGATCATCTTCTACGGGCAAATTAGTAATTGGCTGATTTTCAAGTTCGCCCATTTAAATTTCCTAAATAAAATTGGTAAAAAAGAACTTTGAAAAAAAGAATTTTGAGGATTTCAATAGGAAAACGAACGCTTCGGCGCAAGCTCACTATGGCGCGACCGTTATGGCGCAAAGCACAAAAATGCTAAACAATCCAGTCTATAAAAATCACGACTTACCTAAGTAATAATAATTTAAATCCCTGGCCATTATACGCCATTGACCATTGGTAGAAAAGAATACATAAAAGAATAAATGAGGGGAAGGTTAAGGAGATTTTATAATTACTATTTATTAGGGTTGGAGGCCCGGTCCGAAAGATCGAGTCGGCATAGAATTTTGGCCCGTAAAAGACTCGGTCGGGCCGGCTCGATAAAAATGAAGCACGAAAAATGACTCGAACGCCGGCCCGACTCGAAAACCCCAACTCTACTATTCATCATGATTCTCATTTTCTGTTGTTTGTATATTGCTTGGTCATTTAATGTTGTGATCTGTTTGGTTTTAGTTTTTTCACAGTCTGTCAGATATCCGAATGAATTTTTTATAATATTTCTCGCCTCTAAACAGAAAAAAAGATACAGGACTAAACTACAGGGCTAATTTTATCGTATAAACGTACAGCAGTATTGAAGGGAGGTAAACAAAATACAAGTTGAGATAGAATTTTCAGCTAGAAGATTTTTATTTATACAAAAATTTCAGCAAAATGCCATTGAAGTTTTCTAATTTTTTTTATTTATTTTTTCTCGTTCTTCGACTTTTTGTATTTTATATTAAGAAAATTCAAATTTTCATAATTTAAGGTTAACACATAAAATCAGAAATAATATTTTCAATAGAATTTTCTTCTTTAAAATCTCCTTGCTTTTTCTCCGTTCTTCTTTAAAATATCCAAATGTACACTACAAAAAAATCTTTCTATATCTACAATGATCTCGCTTCTCGATCCAAAACTTAAAACTTGCCAACAGAATATAGGAAATGAACGAAAATTTTTTTTGAATTTTAGAAGAGAATTTTCTATATAAAAAAGGAAAGGAGAACCAATTTTAACAAAAAATAGAAACTCAATGTTCTTGTATTTTTTTATTAAACACATCATTATTTAAAAATCATAACAACAAAATATTTTTAAATAAATATTTTTGATTGGTATTATTAAACTATTATTCTTAAAGTATTCTTAAACTATTAAATTAAAAAAATTTAAATAAACTTAAATTAAATATTGGAGAAATTAATTACTCCTTATACATAAATACCCATTGGAAAGTATGCTCTAAAAATTATTACAATATTTACAATTAAATCAAAACATAAATACTAATTAAAAATTACTTCTAATACTTGATGCTGCTAATGGAAATACACGAAAATAATATTATTCACTGCTATTTAGCAGCAAGGAATTTTTTAAAGACTATAACTTTAGAAATTAAAATTGCCGATTTTGGCATTTCTCAAAAATTACCTAATGGAAAAGATAAAGTAAATATAGAAAAAGGCAAAGTTTTAAACGAATGGAATGGGAGTTAATCCATTTAAAACTTGGAAAATTATTGGAAAGTAGTGGCATTTGGTTTAGTGAGGAAGGCTCGATTAAAATGTGATTTAGACGTGGTTGTCAAACAATCTTTCAATGATAATATGGAAAATATCAGCGAAACAAAAATTTTGAGAAATCTACATCACGAAAATATTGTTCAATTATTAGGTATTTTTAACCTTAAATAAGACTTTAAAAATTAAAATTGGGAACGATAAAATAACTTTCAAAGACCTTACTGATAGAGAAGTTATCAAAAAAGTTAATTTTTTGCTTCTGATGATTTTAAATTAATTTTTCTTCTACATGGAATGGAAAATACTTAGGCTGAGACATAAATATTGAACCCCCTTGAGTTAAGCGCATTAAATAATTATTAAAATTCAACAAAATGTTTTCGAAATGTAATTTATTTTTCTTTATATTCCCAAGAGAGTTGCCTATTTTTGGGCGTCATAGGATTAAGTTGGCAGGATTTAGAGGTATAATACAAAAATTTGTATTTTTGAAACTTGGCAACTTCTAAGTAATTTTCACTTCTTAATTAATGTGTAAACGAAAATTGAAATAGATTCTGATAGAGAAAATCTGTAGAATAAGGTTATATAGAAAATTCCCAACGAAAATTTTTTTTTAAATTTTTATCAGCCCGTTCTTAAGGCTCAATTTTGGCACTGATGCCAAACTCGATTTTCGTTAATAATGGCAATAAAAACTTGTTCTACTAATTTTTATATTTCATTAATTAGTTTTAACAAATTTATTAATTTAGAATCAAAATTGTACTAAAAAATTATTTTGAAATTTCGACTTTGGTCTTCCAAATTTGTTGACGTCGTTGTTTCCACATGCCCAAAGCTTGCCACTAAAAAGATTTTGCGGGAAGCACGATTTTTATAGGTCTATACTTGCCTTTTTGTGCTAGGATTTTGTTATAACACATCTTATAAAAAGTTATAGGAAGGGCCTCAATGTTTAGCTCATCAAGAAGCTTGCTAACTTCCGCTTGATCCTTGGTCACACGTTGCTATGGTTAGAAGTTCAACCCAAAGTGGGGTTCTTCGTTTAGAAGTTCAACCCCACTTTGGGTTGAAGAAGTTCAACCCCACTTTGGGTTGAACTTCTAAACGACCCCACTTTGGGTTGAACTTCTAAACGCAAAAGTTTATTAATACTTTTTAAAATGTTTCCATTTATTAAAATTTTAGCTGTCCTAATTAAATTGTCCCTTCCCCGAATTAGTTCCACGATCTTAGCTGATTTCCATAGAGAGGAATCAGATTCTCATCTTCGACGAGAACAATGTCTCCCTATTTAGGTACGATATTTGCTTCCCCTTATCCTTTAGGCATTTTTTCGCGAAGAGAAAACAAATAGTTGGATTTCCAGAATTTCCAGAAATTGTTTAGATGCAATTGAACGTTTTTTTAACTGTTTGGTCAATTCATTTTTTGTTGTTGTGGATGGCGTATATTCTTCATCTTTATCACTTTCTGTCTGTGGTAAATTTATTTCTATTGGAGAGTATGGACAAATGAAGTCGATTAGTCGAAGAGAATGCAAAGGTTCTTTGTCGGACATAATTGTAAGTGGTCGAGAGTTTACTATTGCTTCATTATCGCAAAAGCGTGTAGTTAATTCAGTTGTAGTCAGAAGTTTTTTGCCACTGCATCTTTTGTTTGCTGTTTTGGGCACGCCAACCAATCTTTCCCAGGCTCCTCCTTCTCATGGGTTGCGTGGTGTGATGAATTTCCACTCTTTGCCTCTGAATTTGATGAAGTCTTGCAGTTCCTTGTAAGAGTATAAGTCCCAAACTATCTTCTCAATTATTTTTGAGCCAAGAGTGAAGTTTGTAGCGTTGTCTGAGACCATTATTGAAGGTGTGCCACGTCTTGCAATGAAACGACGATGTGCTTGAAGGAAAGTTTCTGCTGAAGCATCTGTAGCCAATTCCTAGTGGATTGCTCTAATAGCTAAGCAAGTAAAGAGTGCGCCATAAACCTTTTCCGTCGATGTTTTCATTCCTTTCACATTCATTGGGCCTAAGTAATCCACTCAACAGTGTAGAAATAGTCGCGCCACGTTTATTCTGTATTTTGGTAAGCAATCAATATAATTAAGTTAAAAGGTTATAAACCAAAATATTTTGGATAATACAAGTGAAAATTTAGATGAATCAATCAATATAATTAAGTTAAAAGGTTATAAACCAAAATATTTTGGATAATGGAAGTGAAAATTTAGATGAATCAATCAATATAATTAAGTTAAAAGGTTATAAACCAAAATATTTTGATAATGGAAGTGAAAATTTAGATGAATCAATCAATATAATTAAGTTAAAAGGTTATAAACCAAAATATTTTGATA